GCTGAGCAGCTCCACTGGACTTGGAGCTGAGCTTGCTGTGCCCTCCACAACTAAGATTGAAGGACAACAACTTGGCTGTTCCCCTTCTCCAATTCCCCAACACTGTTCCCCTCCCCCAATTCCCCAATTTAAAAAATAAAATAAAGTGATTCATTTAAAAAATTAAAAATTAAAACAAATATTCTGGGAAACTAGTTAAATAAATACGGCACATTCATGCAATAAAATATTGTGTAACTGGGGCTGGCGAGTGGCGCATTGATTAAGAGCTGGCTTGGGACGCCAGCTCTGAGCAGCAGGGCCCCGGTTCGGATCCCACCTGGGGGCCAGTGACACTGCCCTCTACAGCTAAGATGGTGAACAACACCTCAACCTGGAGCTGGGCTGCCATGAGTCGCCAGTGACAGCATAGGCTGCAGCCCTTCTGCAGTGGGCTGCCATAAGCTACCGTGGGCGGCTGGCAGCCAGTGTGAGCTGCCAAGAGCCACTGTGAGCGGCTGTCCAGAGGCCGGCGACCAATCTGCCTCACCCAGGAAGAGTGCAATGATAATACCAACATGGGCCAGTGAAGCAATGTCCTCCACAACTAGACTGAAGAACAAAACGACAGCAACTTTTCAGTTCCTCTTCCCCCAGTCCCCAGCGCTGTTCCCCTCCCCCAATTCCCCAATAAAATCTTTTAAAAAATATATTGTGTAACTGTATAAAAAACAAGTATGTTCTTTGGGCACTGATATGGAAAGATGTCCAACATGAATTGCTATTATTGGGTTGTCAGAAAAGTCATGAAGTATTTTGTGTATGTTTTTCAAAGGTCATTTATTTATATAAAATGCAAAGATCAATCAATGATATATTGCCCATTTTGTTTGCTAACCTTTTGCCATCTTTCAGTGAACTTCATAATTCCTCGTTCATAGAAGGACCTGTCTTTATTTGCGAAAAACTGAACAAGGTGCTGATTTACAGCCTCATCTGAATTGAACGTTATACCACACAAGGAGTTTTGAAGAGAGCGAAACAAGTGGAAGTCTGACGGTGCAAGGTCAGGCGATGCAGTATGGTGGGTGTGGCAACACATCCCATCCAAGCTCCAATAATTTTTGACAGGTGATCTAATTTGTGTGTGGTCTCACATTGTCGCAATGGAACACAACTCTTTTACAATTAACAAGCTCTGGACGTTTCTGGATGATGGATTCGTTCAAACTGTCCAATTGTCAACAGTACACATTTAAATTGATTGTTTGGTTCCTTGGTAAGAGCTCGAAAAACACGACACCTCTAAAATCCCACCACACTGAGAGCATAACCTTCCTCTAATGAATGTCTGCTTTTGATGTCGTTTGAGGTGAATCATCACATTGGGACCAAGATCGTTTGCACACCACTTTGTTGTAAACAATCCACTTCTCATCACTAGCTATCAGTCGCTTCAAAAAAGGATCGTTTTCCGCACGTTTAATGAGCATATTGCAGATGTTTATACACGCCATCAAATTAACTTCTTTGAGTTCATGTGGAACGCAAATATCGAGCTTGCTTACGTATCCCAGCTTCTTCAGGTGATCGTGAATGTTTGAATGACGGATGTTCAGTGTTTCTGCAATCTCTCGTGTCGTGTAACATGGGTTTGACTCAATCAATGCCTTTATTTTGTAGTCATCATCCTCAGTGGGCCTCCCTGACTGAGGAGCATCGTTGAGATCAAAATCACGGAATTTCGTGAACCATCGTTGGCACTGATGTTCTTGTAGAGCATTGTCACTTTATGCAACTTTTCACAAGCTTGACACGCATTCTTCTCTTTATGGAAATAACTCAGTAAAATATGGCAAAAATGCACAGTTTGGTCTTCCATCTTCAACTTGCTATAAAATCTCCGAAATGCAACCAAACTGCTCAATTCTTTTTTAAAATGAAGCTAGAACTGTCAGCTGTTAAATGACATAGCAATAACATAGATGAGAATGGCTCTAGTACTTCCAAAAATGAACTAGTGCTACCTGTCTCAAACATGCGTCATGACTTTTCCGACAACCCAATATTTTCTTTAAAACAAAAATATGAGGTGAGGAGTGCTATTATTAGTCCTCACTTGCAGTGATTTTTCTCCTGGAGCTCCCTCTAGTGGCACATATGTGGAAGGACGCAGAGAAAATGTAAATTGGCTCCAGATGGCTGGAAGGGAGATTTTCAAAGTATGTTATTTTATACCTTTTGGATTTTGAAACAGAAGCAAATGTAAAAACAAATAAATAAAATCAATTTTTAAAATACAACAGAGCTATATTATGTATTAATGTGGAATTATACACTGCTATATAAACAACAAAAGAAGCAGAACAGTGTTTCTATTATTTGCGTACGATACGTTTTACAGATTTTCAGTGCTGTTATTGGGTGACTACCATTTACTGAGTGCTTACAGTTTCACACAGGGACAGCATGCTAAATAACATGTGCATTCATTGTGTTTACAGTGTGTCACTTTGCATACATGACTATATCAGACATGGTCAGGGATGCAGATTAAACGAAATTCCTGAGGCGTGTGATGCACACAAGAAACAACTTGGAAATACTTGCAAGATCCTGTAAGATGTGCTGCACAACATCAATTACAGCAACTTTTAACTGCTGAAGGAAGTGACCAGCTCTTATCATACAGGTGGCGGTTTCTCCTCACACGGGTGGTTTCTCCTCAGACCGTCTACATCATGCTCTATGCCAGCAAGAAATGGGTGCTCCCACTCCTCAGATTCCTGTAAATGACTTTGATTTTGCTGGTGGCTCTTCTACCCTCCCCTTGTTTACATTAATGCCCAAAGATCAGTCATCCAAAGGACTGCTTGCCCCAGTTCCAGCAAGCCACTCCCTTCCTAGAGATCTGAGACTTGGGCATGGGGGTGAGCGAGGTGAGCTCTTCAGGCTGAGTGGCACAGTCATTACAAGTGCTGGTCCTGAGGCTAGAAAGCCTGGCTTCAGATCCCAGCTCTGCCACTCCCCAGTGGTGTGACCTTGAGCAAGTGACTTAACTTCTTTTTGCCTCAATTTCCTCATCTGTAAAATAAGAGTGATAGTAGTTCAACATTCATTTTACTGTTGTAAGGGTTAAATGAGTTAATACATGTAAAATGTTTATAACAGTGGCACATGAAAGCATTCTGTCAGGGTTTTTAGGTATTTGATGGCTTTGATCAAGTGGCTTTGATTGTCTAGCTCCTGACCCTTTCCCCTCCCAACCCTCCACCCCACCCTGATCTCACATCCAGCTTTGGACAATCAGACTGGTGCTGGACAATTTCAAGCACCTATGACCCCAAACACTGCCCAGGAAAGCATCTTGTGCATAACTCTCCTACATGAACCTGAACACGCATCATGGAGGAAGAGCATTGCAGGACATTTTAGGTTCTGGAAGGAGAGAATCCCTACTTCAGAGGAAATCAGGCATGCACAGAGGCTCCTCTTCCCACCTGATTCACCCCTCCTGACCTTGACTTTCACCCTCACATCCCCAGAGCATTCGACCTGCTTGTGCCCAAACTCCAGATGCTTTGCAGGGAGGAAAAAGAAGCAACTCCCAGACTCAGCTGAACAGAGTCTGTCTTTCTAACTGCTGGTCCTCATCTCAGACAAAAACAGAAAATGTATGTCCCAGTCATGTCCCTAGCCCTTGAATGGTGCTGCCCAATACAATTCTGTGTGTGTGTGTGTGTGTGTGTGTGTGTGTGTGTGATGATGATGATGGAAATGGTCTATATTTGTGCTGTATGATCTGGTAGCCACGTTGTGCTACTGAGCATTTGAAACATGGCTAGTGCAATCAGGGGAATGAATTTTTTATTTAATTTAATTTTAATTTTAATGGCCACTGTTGCTAGTGGTTACTGTATTAGACAACATGGTTTAAATTGTCTACTTGACCATTTTATTATTATTTAATGAAACATCTTTGCTTTATGATTGGGATATATATTTTTTAAACTTAGTGCTGATGCTGGTCTCATTCTTCAGTGATCAGCTGATTTTGAGAGGTAAGGGAAAAGTCATATTTTCATTCCAGATCTCCTATGACACTGAGGAAATCAGAGAGCAAGGCCAAGACTGGAGAGCTGTGTCCTGGATACTGGCTCTGTCCTCATTGGCTATGTTGACTAACAGCTGCTGACCTTGCTAATCATCCTTCCTCCAGGCTTGCCTCTGTGAGCACAGGTGTCCATCAACTCCCAATGTCTAACTCATGTGTTGGGGGGTGCAGAATAAGTCACCCCAAGATGTGTCTCTGTGGTATGTGGATTGTTTTGAGCTAAAGGCAACCAAGACCCTGTGGGCTCAAGAGGAACTTCTGCCCTCCTCTTAACTACCTAGAACTTGAATTACGGGCCCTGTCCATAATAACAGATTATCAGAGATAACCTTTCTACCTATTGATAGGGCAGGGAAAACTAATTACTAAACATCTGCTCTTCTCCTTATCCTGCAATGACCCTCTGAAGCCCCAAGGCACCTTACCTCCCCCTTAGCTCAGAATGCTATATACACCTCATTTTAACTTTCTGTCCCTGAACCTCTCCTGTATGTGGGATGTCTCACTCTCTCATGTATGCAGAATTCCCATACATTTGTATGTAATTAAATTGGTCATCTTCTCATGCTAATCTGTCTCATGTTCATTTGATTATTAGACCAGCCAGAAGAAACTGGGGGGCAGAGGAAAGTTTCTTCCTCCCTCACAAACTCATGACTTCCCTAAGTATATTCCTTGGGAGCAAGATGCTAACTAAGCCAAATGACCCATCACACATCTGAACATAAGAAAGGGAGTTTGGCTGTGCAGTAGGAGCAAAGGAAATTAGACATCAAGAAGAATGGCTTAGTAATGACAGTTATGAAATAGGAGACCAAGTCTAAACGTGCTTTCTTTTTTAAAAAGCCAACAAATGATCCCTCTCCCTTGGCTAATACTAGGAGGACAGAGGTTGAAGGAACCTTACAGATTACATGGACGAGCCTCTTCCTGAGGTCCAGTGAGTGAGAAGTCCTGATCCCAACTGGTCAGATCCTAGAAGCCCCTTCGAAGGCTGGGTGGCTGGAAGGGAGTGGGGGAGGAAGGCCCAGTACCAGGCAGCCTCTGCTCCGTAGCTCTGAGAGGGTGGGGAAAACAAACCCTGGCCATCCCTGAGTCTGTAGCCCTTTTGTGTAAGTGCCTGGCAAGGATGACGTGGGCTGTTCCCCTGAGCACAGCTGCAGCATGGCCGGGAGGAGGCAGTCCTGGGAGCCCCGCCCTCCCAGATCCCTCCTCAGGCTTTTTCAGTGGCGGGGACATGCGTCCTGAGGGCCTCCACTTGGCCTGACCCTGCTGCAGGGGCTCTCTGTCTCCAGGGAGCGTGGAGATGGCGGGTTTCCTTAGCTCCTCTCTGTCCAGCTGCCTCCCCAGCCTCCTCCTCCTCCTTCAGTTGTCTTCCAGCTATGCAGGTAAGGTTGATCTTTATTTCTGCCTTAGGGAGACTCCAAGAACAGAAAGGCTAGTTTCCCTGGGCTCACCCCCTTCAATTCATCCTCAAGTTGCTATGCAAATTATCTTTGTGAAACATAGATACGCTGACATTGTCCCTGTCTCAGAAAACCTCAGCGGCTTCCTACAGTCTTCAGAATAGAGCCCTAACTCCATAACATGACCTTAAATCCAGGCTCTCCTTCAACTCATTCTCACCTTTCTGAGGTTTGGGTTTCTCACCTATCACACGGGGATATAACAATAACAGCCTCTTGGAGTTGCTGTCAGGGTTCAGTGAGATTAGGTCCATAACACGTGTAGCGGTGCCTGCCCCACAGTGAGACTCCATCAGTATTTGTTGGATTGTAGTATCTTGTCATGTCTGAGAGTTCTGTTCCTCATTATCAGGCACTGTAAAGTTTTTGTAGAGGTTTCATGAGCTGGGGAGAAATAAAAGAAACAGAAGACAGGATCCCACCTTCAGGGAACCACCTACCAGGAAGCCCAGTCCCTGACCTCCCTCAGGAAATAGTGGCAAGTGTGATGGAGAAGCAGCCTTATCTTCCAGTAGCTCATAGTCTAAGAGACACATTCACGTCAGAAAGAGACTGGGAGTATGTACAGGGCAGGCAGGGTCCAGGAGGCACAGGAGACAGAGCCACCTCCAGGGTGCAAAGTCTCAGAGGAGAAAAGTTTGGGAACAGTGTGGGAAGGAGGACAGAGGGCTGAGAAATGGTGGAGAGAGGCAGCAGTGGAGGAGTGACAAAAGCAACACCCCTAAGGGGAGAGTAGGGACCAATTCAGCCAAGGCTAGATCACATTCCAAGGTGGAGCCTACAGGTAAGGCTGAAGGATCAGGGATGAAGAGATAAAATGGCAGAAAGGTGAGCAGCAACTGTCAAGATGACCACATGCTAGAATGTTCTGTCCAGAGCACTCACCATATCTCTATAACCAGAGACCTTTCATTTATATAAATATTCAAGAAGAAAAACTGAGCTCTTTCCTGGCATAGAATGCCATTTAAAATGTTTATTCAAAACTCCATTTAAAAATCGAGTATCTTCTTCCTTTCCTGTTTTGAAGCAGCCCTTCCCATGGACTGGCTTGTTTGTCAAGGCTCCCTCTGATGCTGTTTCTTTTCTCTGGTGTCTTGGACAGGACAGTTCAGAGTAATAGGACCAGGGCACCCTATCCGGGCTCTGGTGGGGGATGAAGTGGAATTGCCATGTCGCATCTCTCCTGGAAGGAATGCTACAGGCATGGAGGTGGGATGGTACCGGCCACCCTTCTCTCGGGTGGTTCATCTCTACCGAAATGGCAAGGACCAAGATGGAGAGCAGGCGCCTGAGTATCGGGGCCGGACCGAGCTGCTGAAAGGGGCCATTGGTGAGGGGAAGGTGACCCTCAGGATCAGGAATGTAAGGTTCTCAGATGAAGGAGGATTCACCTGCTTCTTCCGAGATCATTCTTATCAAGAGGAGGCAGCAATGGAACTGAAAGTGGAAGGTGAGTAGTACCATGTAACACTGGGTATCATCCGTTGGGTGACCAGGACCTCCCTTTGAGATTTTAATCATTGTCTTACTTAAATGAGATCCTCCAACCCAAACATCTCACTCCTGGGAATCCATTCCACAGAAGTACGCGCATCAGTAGGTACGCACCCGCACATGTCTGCTGCATCATTATTTAGAGTGGGAAAGGACCAGAACCAAGGCAATACCTGTGAGTAGGGATGTGACTGAATACATGTTGTGATGCCTGCCGGGAATGTCATGCAGCCATTAAAAAGGCTGTTTTAAGGGGCTGGCCGAGTGGCTCAGTTGGTTAAGAGCTCGCTCAAGAGTGCGAGCTCTGAGCAACAGCGGTTCAATGCCCGGCCCGAGCTGAGTTGCCACTGAACTGCCAACAGGTTGGCTCAGCTAAAAAATAAAATAAAATAAAAAATAAAAATAAAAAAGGCTGTTTTAGGGCTATAGCGATGGCTTGAAGGCATTTTACAACGTATTGTTGAGTGATAAAAGCAAGCTACACAATGTAGGGAAAACAAAACCCTATGTTTGTGAATATATTATATATACCGGGGGTGCCAAAAAAATGTATACACATGACTTATATTCATCGTTTGTTATCGGTGTATATTATTACAATTTTAATAGTTTTTTCCTTTCTTAAAATGTGTATACATTTTTGGCACCCTCTGTGTGTGTGTGTGTGTGTGTGTGTGTGTGTGTATCTCAGAGAAAAGTACAAAAAGAGATCCTTAGGAAAGTTAGTATGGTTCTCTTTGGGGGAAGAGGAGAAAGGAAAGAGTATGGGGTGTGATTCAACCAAAGAAAATCAAAGGTCATAATTATCCTTAGGATTTTGTTCATCCATTCATATAAAAGTATGTATAACATGTACATGTGTGGGTACAGATAGAGAAAATTTTCAGAAAAAAATTTTAAGAAATAAAATAGAAAAAATGATAAGTGGAGACAGCAAAATCCAAAATAATCAATTTTTGATTAGTTTGTACTACTAGAGGGGAATATGAATAACCTGCAAGTTAATCAAAGTATCTATGTGGGCTTTTTTCCAAGAGTCAAGCTGATCAAATCTGATATGTTTGTTTTATTAGATGAGACACATTATTGAGAAATATACTCCTGGTACATATGGCCCAAGTGAATAAATAAGTAAAACAAATGTCTGAATATAATCACAGAAATAAAGAGATGTCACCTGTAGATTTTACTTCCACCACTTCCTTTCTCCGGGGTTTCATTTTCAGTATGTTTTGTGAATAGATGACTTTGGAATTTTTTGTTTGTTTGTTTTACCCCAGGATGATTAAGATGTGGACAAGTTGAAGTGGATAGAGGGGAGCTTTGAAAGCTAATTGCTGTTAAATGGAAGAACAAAGTTGTTCTGAGGCCCTGAGCCTCAGGTCCTTTCCCTTTCCCTCCTTCCCTCTCCCCACCTGCAGCAACACAGCAGACAATCCATCACTTTTGTATCTCCATGGAGACTATTGTGGGCTGGGACCAGCAGGTGGCATTGTATGCAGGATAACAAAGCACTGTTTCTAGACAGATTGCAGGGATGTGAAAATAGCTTTGTGTGTCAAAGAAATGCAGTGACTGTATTATGGCAAGTTTCAGATGACATTACCTCCCTTCCTTCTCAAAAACGTCTTGTCTCCTGACTTCATTTTTTTCTTGTCATTTTTATGATTTTATTAGTAGTTAGTTGTCTCTAATCCTTTTTTAAACTCTTCATTATGGAAGTTTAAAACATATACAGAAGTAGAGAGAATAATAACAATGAGCTTCCAAATGCCCATCACTGCTTGCAACAAATATCAACCAAAAGACGACCAGTTTCACCTGACCCCACTCATTACCGCCCTACCCAACAGAACTACTGAGACAAAGCCTAGGCAGCATTACCATTTCATCACTAAATCCTCAAGAATGAACCACTCAAATATAAAAATGCTTAAAAAATTATAACCACAATATTACATCCTATCTTTAAAAATTAACAAAAATTCCTTTAAAAAAAAAGATTTTATTGGGGAATTCAGGGAGAGGAACAGTGTGGGGGAAGGGGACCAGCCAAGCTGTTCTTCAATCTTCATTGTGGAGGGCGGCAGTCACCATCTGGCTGCCCGTCGGCAGTTCATGGCCTCTAAGCTCAAGGTGCTGTGTTCTATCTTAGTTGCAGGTAGGAGTAGCAACCATCCCATGCGGGAGTCAAACCAGTGGCCTCGTTGTTAAGAGCGCACGCTCTATCCACTCAGCCATCTGGCCAGCAGCTCAGTGTGCCGAGTTCAGTCTTTAGTTGCGGTTGGGCATAGCCACCATCGAACAGGCAATCTTGTTACACCAGCTGAGCCATCCTGCCACCTGTTGGCAACTCGGGCGCAGCGTCACTGGCCCATGTGGGAATCGAACCAGCAATCCTGTTGCTCAGAGCTCACGCTCTTAAGACAACTCTTAACCAACTGAGCCACTCGGCTGGCCCCCAAAATTCCTTAATGTCAATAATATCCAGTCTGTGTTCAAATTTTCCTGGCTGTTTCATAGGTACATTTTTACAACTGGTTTGATTGAATTGGATGCAAACAAGATGCACACGTTGGTGTTTGCCCTGTGCGTTTCCCAGTCTAGATTTTGAGGATTTCATCCCCTGTTGTTTCACACAGGGCTCCATACCCCGTATCTCCCATAAACTGATAGATTAGAGATGCACGATCAGATTCAGGTTTGATTTATTTTGCCAAGCATACTTCCCAGATAATGCTACATTCTTATTGCTTTACATCAGAAGGCTCATAATGTCTCCTGCTCTTTTTTGTGATTCTAAGCCTTTGTTAAAGTACAAAAGTGCAAAAAAAACAAACAAAAATAACCACCCACAAACCTGAAGTATCTACTTGCTAAATCATGTTGCTACAGGTAAATTCCAATAAGAAATTGAAAGTAGAGTTTGCTGCATTTTTCTATGACTAATCCTAAGAAACCCCCCTGGACCGGTTCATGTCGCTTGCTGACTTAATCCTTACCCTTGATGGCAATGTGTTTATCTCCCCCCTAAAACAGAGAACAAGATAAAAGGGGCTCGACCGCAGCATGGCGCACTGAGATCAGACAGGCCGAGTTTGGGGGCAGGAGGAGCAGACCCTAGGAAGGGAAACGGGTGGGCACCGGGGAGCCGAATCCCGCCCTCATTACCCACCCCTCTCCACATGCACTGTTACCAAATTCTAGGGTCCTCCTTTCTCAAAAGCTCCAGAAAAGGGGTTCTTAACCCTTTTGTGTGTCACGCATCCCTTTTGTGGACTGTTGAAGCTGATGGACCCTTCTTAGAAGGATGTTTTAAATGCATGAAACATATTTGTGCTGAAATAATTACCAAAATATTAAAATAACAAAACATGGGGTGGCCCTGATAATTACTGTAATTTCAAAATAGTGACGAACGTTAATGATATTTTGAGATTTCTGCAACAACTCAATGTGATATGAAAATATTTGTGGTTTTTATTGACGACAAAGTCACAGGTTCTATTCATATTGTTGTGGTGCGTTGCCTACAAACATAATCGAAAGAAACGTTAAATTTCAGTTTAAAGGTTACTGAAAATAAATACGTACCTTTTCCTCTGAGTTCCCAGACCCCTTGACTTCTGCACCTCCACTGCTGTCCTACTTCAAGCTCCTGTGGCTTTTTACTTTCACTACCACCAAGGCCTCTTAACTGACGTCCCTCAGGATGTCCTCCAGTCCTGCAGCCAGTAAATCAGATCTCGTCGCTCCTCAGCTTGGAATCTGGCAGTGTACCCCTGTGGCCTTGGGGATCAGGTCCCTTAGCTGGTTCTCAAAGTTCCCCAAGAGCAGCCCCAAACCTAACCTCAAATCCTGTTCTAAATCTCCAGCCCCTTAGAAACCCCACTGTTCCCTCAAGGCTGAGCTCAGGTGTGAATTCCGTGTTATCTTCTTTGAATCTCGGTGATATCCGCTCCTTTATTCAGCCTGATGTACTGAGGCCCCGGCACCGCGCTGGGTGGACACAAGGGGGCGCTGCCGGTTCTGTCTTTCAGATCCGTTCTACTGGGTCAGCCCCGGCGTGCTGGCTGTCATCGCGGTCCTGCCTGTGCTGCTTCTGCAGGTGTCCGTGGGCCTCGTCTTCCTCTGCCTGCAGCACCGACTGAGAGGTACAGACTGAGGGGGCAGCCGGGGATCCTGCCCGAACTGAGCTGGCCTTTTAGGGCCAGGTCGGCTAACATTTTTTTTTTTGAGTGCCTTCTGGGCTCAGAATTCCATAATGTCAAGTTTCACACGGTACCAAATGCTTTCATATGGATAATAGGACCTTGCATCTCCTTGAGGGAGGGTGGCAAGTAATCTCCTTGAGGGAGGGTGGCAAGTAACAGCCCCATTTTACAGAGGCAGCAACTACGGCCTGGAGTGGCTCTGTGATTTACTCAGCCTGACAGCTTGGAAGTGGCAGAGCGCACGCCTAAACCCCCTTTTGGCCCCAGTACCCCACCTAGCAGTGTCACACAACTGTGCGAGAGTGGGCTTCAGAGTCAGACAGGTCTAGGCTGTCAGGTTTAAATAAAAATACCGTAAGTAAAAGTCCCTACCACGTCACTGGTCTTCGTTTCCACCTTCGTTCCATTCAACACTAAGGACTCGGGTTCGGCTGTCGAGGAAGCTCCTCTTTTGTGCCCAGAGCTTCCATTCTGAGCCTTCTACCCCCCACCAGGTGTTCTCAAGGCCAAAGCACTCAGGACCTTTAATTCTTCTCTTCCCCCTCCCGCTCCTAAGAAGATAAAGCAGCAAGGAGGGCTTGCAGTGAGGGCGGATGTTGCTGGCATCAACAATGGGGTCTTTTTTCTCCCCTTGAATTCATCCCAGAAACTCAGTTATCTACTCCTCCCATATGGAAAAAGCCTTTAGTCTACATGGCTGAGCAGAAAGAACCTGATTAGGGAGTTAGGCAACCTGGGTTTGAATGCAACTAGAACTCTCCAAGCCTCAGTTGCCTCACCTGTCAGGTAGATGACATCCTCCCTCCTAAATTCTGTTATGTAAAGTGCCAGGTACTGCTCAACTAAACGTTTAGTTCCTCCCTTCCTCATTCAGATGGGAAGTGGCTTTACACTTGCAAAGTGACAACCCAGCAGGGGGGAGTGACAATGTGAACTGAGAACCACCCAAGGAAAGGATCAAAGAGCAGTGGGGAAGGTAATAAAACCTTGTTTGTTTGAGGCATCGCTGTCTTCCCTGTTCTCCACATTTTTTATTCCCACTATTTATCCCAGACAATAGCCAGGGAAAGAGCCTCAACTCTTGGCTCCAAATCCAGTGCTCTTTCCACTCAAAGGATGCTCCCGGGCTGGGCAGAAACCTGCACAAAGGCCCAGGGCCCTGGGTGTGGAAATGCCCATCTAATGACAGAGCAGGAACTAAAAATGTTGCTTTTTCTATTTTAGGAAAACTTCGAGCAGAGATAGGTGAGTTCCAGGCACATTCCTTCCTCAATCCCGCCCTTCTGGTCTCTGCAGAACTGAAAGTCATTTTCCTAGACCACAGTTCGCCTTTGTCCCAATACCTTGTGTTCCCTTTGGGCAGGAAATGCACTATTTAAAACTCTCAAAGCAGCTGAGAACTGCAGATCTCATTCCTCCTCCCTGCGGTCAGCCAGGATAGACACAATTTTAAGTGATTAAATAACAAAAGCTCAGAGAAGGAGCAAGTATCGCCTTGGAGTGCCTGCTAAGCCCCTCTCCATTTGTTCCTCTTTCAGAGAATCTCCACAGGACTTTTGGTAAGTGCTTGGGTACAGGTCCTCCCGTCATCTTGGTGTTTCACTGTGGAAATCAAGGCCCCTGGCTCCTGGTTGTTTTCTCCCTCTCTTTTTCTTTCTTTGAATAAGTCACCTGCATCTAGAATCGGTAAGATAATAGCAAATAGATACACTACACTTTTGTGTCAGGCACTAAACTAACAGCTTTACCTGTTAACTCATCACAAGCACTGTAGACACCTTATTTCTTTTCAGGAAATACAAAGGGAAGGTAAACAGACCCTTTGCACAAATATTTGATGTCTAGCTGGGGAGGTGATGCATACACATGGATTAACTGGAGAGCCAAGTACATATATATCATCAACTGAACACATGGTGGCGTTTTCATGAGTGCACCAGTAACTATACATGACTAATCAGGGAAGGCTTCTTGGAGGAAGAGTGAAGACTCCAAGCCCCACTAGCATGTCATTTGGGTCTAACAACTTGTCATTTCAGAATACAGATAAACATAGGCAATATTTTAAGATTTCTGCAACACGTTAAAAAACACTATATGGAGAGGGCTATGTGGGGCATAAAGGAGAGCACCATTAATCCTGTTTGTTCTGTGCTGAACGGTTCAGATCCCCACTTTCTGAGGGTGCCCTGCTGGAAGATAACCCTGTTTGTAATTGTGCCGGTTATCGGACCCCTAGTTGCCTTGATCATCTGCTACAACTGGCTCCATCGAAGACTAGCAGGTACAGTGGTGGGGCAGCAAACAGGACCAGCGAGCAGTGAAGACCAAGTCAGGCCTGAGTGGCAGACAGAAAGATGACCCAGGGCTCCCAATTTGGGGAGCAGGGGGTTCCTTCCTCCTCTGTCCCTTTGGCCAACCCCAAGCTCCTCAGCCATGAAAAGAACCACTTACTGACATCTGTGGGGTCCCTTAGTGAAAAGGGAGGGGTGGCTTCCTGGAATCTGCCCAGGGAGGCGGTGGGAATGAGCCAGTCAGCTTCCACCAATCATCTATTTCTCTTTGTTTTCAGGGCAATTTCTTGAAGAGCTAAGTAAGTTTTCTCCTCCCTCTTGTAAGCTGAGAACAAAACAACAGGGAAGCGGCAAGAGAAAGAGGGGGGCTGGAGAGGGATGGAAGCCAGAGGAAAGGAGGGGCTGGCTGCATGGGTGGAGGAAGGAATTCTGAGGCAGGAGCTGACGCCAGCTTTCCAGGTGGTAGGGAAGGGGGGGCACTCCCACCTGCTGCCTGATTTGTTGCACCTTCAGTGCGCCTGTGGCAAAACCCCAGCCCGGTGACTCTCTCCCCTTCCCTATGGCAGCTTCCTGTGCCTCGCCTCCAAGACCAACCCTGAGGCAGGCATGCAGACAGGAGGATCCTAGCGGACTTTTCCTCTCCCTGGTTTAATGGTTTCATGACAGAAACTGACAGCCTTTTCAAGTTATTTTCTCCTTCTAGGAAACCCCTTCTGAGTGACGCTGCATCTTGGCATAAGTGGAGAGCCTGGTTGGTCCAAGGATTGGTCCTTGTGGATGTCGCATTCATCAAGCTGCACACTCACTGGCCTCTGTGCTGGGGGAACATTCCCATTTGCACTTCCAGGACCACTCAATCTAAATTCCAAATAAGATTGATTTCTCTTCTTCTGTCAACTACCTTTCCCCAGCTCTTTCCATTTTTGTTACCTACGTCTTTCCAACTCCTCTATCTGGAAGCCTTCCCCCTTCTGTTCTTCACCAGGACACCTGTGCTGGACAGTAACGCACAGGATGGTCCACCATGAGCTGAAGACCAGGGACCTCGGGGCAACCTGCAGCATGCCAACTTTGCAAATGATTATTTCTTCCAAGAACTCAGGCCCAATGGGCAGAGCTGAGGTGTGGAGGGTGGAAGGGAAAGAACAAGATAAGTCCAAGACATCAAAGACAGCGAGGTGAACTGCAGTGAGGACCTGGGAGAAGCCCACAGAATGCTGGCCAGAGCTCCATCTCGCCCGGGCAGCCTACAGAGGAGCTAAGGAAGGAGAGGACACAAGCGGGCCACGCACCGCTTTAGAATCTTCCCTTGTACTCCCACGACTTGTACAGATGGGTCCCTCAGACGCCTTCCCCCCTTTCATCCTTTTTCTCCTGTTTTCATACCAACAGAGTATCCACTGATTCAGCAATTACTTCGTGATGGTTTGAGACACAAAGAAACAAGCTAGGTGCTAATTAATAATACAAGTTTCCATGTGCCACTTCTTGTTCGTTTTCCTTTCTGTATTTCCTTATTCCCATTAGCTCTCTTCCCCTACCTACCCCAGGCTCCTTATCCTGGAGATCAGTCCTCAGGAAAACCAAACACAAAGGAAGACCTCAGCCAGAAAGAGCATTTATTTATCTTCCAAGACCCTCCCTGTCCGGTTTGCTTTTCCCGCCCTGCATGCCTTCTTCCTCCCTTTCCCCCACTCTCCTGGGGGCAAGGATCCTAGGAGACCCACCCCCTTCCCTGCCATGGGGGCGGCATTGTGAAAGAGGCCAAGCCACTGGCCCAGGATGGCCCAGCACTTCTGAGGACTGTCCCGGCACAGCCTCCTGCCTTTATAGGTCCCCCAGTGACCCACGAGATCCTCCTTCTCCTCAAAGTAGAGGTCGCAGACAGGGCAACGGTAGGCCTTCTGCTTCCAGTGAGCCTGCTGCTGGTGCCTGACCAGCCCAGAGAACGAGCTGAAGGACTTGCCACAGCGGAAGCAGCCATTTGACTGCTCTGTGAGGTGGGCCTTCTGGTGCCTGGAGAGGTGGGTCTTCTTACTAAAAGTCAAGGGACAATAAAGGCAAGAGAAGACCTTGAGTCTTGAAGGCTTTGGTAGGTAAGACTTGGACCTGGAATCCAGGCAGCGGGCTCCAGGGTTGGCTGCCTGGGTCCTGGTCACAGGCCCTGTGGTTCTAATAACTGGTGCCTGGTTCCTATCTATTGATGACTGTATGGGAGCTCTAGGACCCCTGGTTCTAAATATGGGTTCTTGGGCCCTGGCCACTGGTGCATGGCTCCCAGCTGCGAGCCCCTGGCTCCTGACGGTGGGTTCCTGGATTCCAGCCGTGGTGCCTGTAATCCTCACATGCTTCTGGTTTCCAGCCACTGGATGCTGGTTTTGGTGTATCTTCTGGTGGCGTCTGAGCTCAGACTGGTCCCGGAAGCTCTTCCCACAGAAGGGGCATGAATGGGGCCGGTAACCCAGGTGGACACGGCGGTGACGGCTCAGTCCAGAAGCATCACAGTAGGTCTTGTCACAGAGTGAGCAACAGAAAGGCCTCTCCCCCAGATGCATGCGTTTGTGGTAGCTGAGGGCCTTGGGGTTCCGAAATGACTTTCCACACTGGCTGCAGCTGTCAGTCTGCTTAGGATTGTGAACAAACTGGTGGCTATGAAGGTTGGAGCGCTTGTTGAAACACCTGCCACAGGTGTGGCAGGAAAAGAGGGGCCCAGACCAGGATGCTGGGAACAATGGAGTCCTGCCCATGTACCCAGCTGGAGCAGAGGTCAGGCCTGATCCTCTGCAAGCAAGGGAGACCTTGTCACCACTAGTCCCCTCATGTCTCAAATCCTGACGGTGCCCTTGAAGTTCCTCCTTATTGCCTCCTACAATGAATGAGGAAGAATAACACAAGAGTCACCATGAGAACCCTAACTCTCCATTCAGTCCAAGCTCCCCCCTTTCTATCCTCACTCTCCCAGCCAACACATTCATCCTCACTCTTGGACCTCATGGGCTAGAGTTAATAATAAACTTTTGGGTTTTTCAAATTAAAAGCAAATAAAAATCTAACTGGAATCCTTCAACAATTAAAATTTTAACCTATAACCACAGTTTTTGAAATCTATTTCTTCTCATTTTCAGTATTGCTCACACTCCCTCAGATAGTCCACTGATACCCACAGATGACCTCATAATATATCATGCAAATTAGTACACTTGAGTGAAAGTGCTACTAACAATCAATCTAGGATGCCAAGTGTAGACCAGGACTGTCCTGGCCATCCAGGATGTGTGGTCAGCCTGGCCTTCCCTTTCTCTCAAGTCCTTATTCTACTTTAAGGAACAAGTGTCCCTTCAACTCAGCATCAAGTTCATCCCCTTCTTTTCCTTTTTCCTTAGAAAAGACTTTTTCATCGAAAAAGGACAACTGACATAAGCAACCTACAATCCCTAGAAACTGGAGCTACTCCCTTGTCCTAATGGCTTATATATTCATCCTCTTGAAGCCGAGGGACTCGAGCAGATATCTCAAGGTCTCCTCCAGCTCCAAGTCTGACCAGGCTGGGAGGATACGGGCTAGGAGATAATCTACAGAGCCCTGACCCTCTTAGGCAGTTTCCCATCCTTCCTCTGTCCTTTGTAATTCTTACCTGAAGGGAGGCCTTCTATGTCTGGGTTATGGAGCCCTGCTCTCCACTGTTTCTCTTCTTGTTCAAGCTTAGTGATCAGATCTGGATTAGACAAAAAGAGTCTAGCTGGAGAGTGGGAAGAAGAGAATGAATTGAGGTCCCCGGCTGGGTCCCTTCATAATAGATGGGGACAACCAGATATCTTCTTTCGTATCCTTGGTTTAAGAACCATAATCTGGGACATATAGATGCAGGGAGGGGACACTCAAAAGACTAGCTCCTCACTAAGTGCCTGGTACATAACAGGAGAGACTCAGCAAATACTGATTGGGTGAGTAGGCAAATTTGCATGTTTTGAGTACACTGTCATCATGTTACAAGTGTTATCTTTGCCTTCAGGCAGGCTTTCATTTCTTTTCCTTTTACTCTGAGCTTAGTGACCCAGATCTTTCACACCTGAAAACCAAGGGTCAGTAAAGCTGCTTGTGAGCTAATCTACCTGCTCAGGGAAACCAGAGGTCATAAGGTCTTGGGATAGGGGGCTTGCTGAGGGAACCCCAGCCTCTTACCCACAGACACCAGGTTTTTGAAGGTCTCTGACATAACATCCTGGTAGAAGACCCTCTGACTGGCATCTAGACAGTTCCACTCTTCCTGGGTGAAATTTACTGCCACATCCTCAAAAGTGACTGGCATCTGGAAAAGCAGGAGAGACAGAGAGCCTGTATACATACAGGGACAGACATCCAAGCTCAAGGTTCAGAAAACTAAGAGAAGAATCAAACGATGGAAGTAGGGGAGGAATATGAAAAGACAAGCACAAAGCCAACAACTGTGATGTATAGAAAGGAATGGAAGGATGGAGAGGAGGGAAGGAAAATACAGGAGAAAAGGGAGGGCTATACTGAATATAAATAGGAGGGGAAGCAAAAGAAAAAAGGCTGTCAGTCTGATGAATTTAGGAGGTACTCCATGAAGGACGTAGGGTGGAGCAGGAGACTGAGAAGCCCTGCAGCCCACTTTCCTGGGTGTTGTTCACCTGGAAACAGTCTGAGATCCCATCTGACCTGCAGACAGGGGAACAGATGAAAGAGCTCCTGGAGTCTAGGACCCAGTCCCTCCCTCTCTCTAGCTTGGTCTCCTCACCTTCATCCAGGCCTTCCACCAGCACTCTTTCCTCACAGCTTCCTGCTGGGCCTCCTGGTCCATGCAAGGGAGCAGCTTCTTTACAGGTTCGATGGGCTTCAGCTGGCCAAACACCTTCTCTTCCATGGCGTCTCTTCCTAGCTTGATCCACTCCTGGCCTGGCCTCCAGGACTGACTGGATGCCTTCCTGCGGCTCTCTACCTCCCAGTAACTGAGCAAGTGGTTGGGGGCGGGGGGGGGGTTCCAAAGTCCCCAGGGTTTGACGTGGCTTCCTGTGACAAATGTATCTGCTCCAAGGGGCTGTCCTCCTTTTCTGTTCTCCGTCCAAATTCTCCTCTTTTACAACTGAGAACACCTTTGGTTCCCTAAAAGCCTAGGCTACAGAGTTCAGGAACCCGGTCATCCCAGGTTCAGTTGCCATTGTCCAGGAATGCCAGGTTGGGGCTATGAAGGCATCTGCCTTCAGTTTCACCCTGCGTGTAACCACTGGCTGGTGCTCACCTCTAGGAACCTAAGGTCAAAGAGAGAAAAACACATCAGCAAGAGGGGGAGTGAGGAACAACAGGTCCCCTATTTAGTGAAGGAATTCCAAAAGTTAGTGAACTCCTGCTCTGTGCCATGTGATCCCCTCAGCACTGTCCTGTCAGGAAACAGTTACGAGCCTCTTTTTAACTAACTTAAAATGCAGAGACGCTAAGTTGCTCAAGGATACTCTTGGTCCACAGCAGAACCACTGTTCAAAGCCCAGACTCTGTACCACTGAGGACATGATTTCCACTGTCTCAAAGCACTTTCTAGAGCAGCATTCTGGACAGAAAGTGTGTACCCGAGTAACCAGCCCAGGACCTGTCACAAAGCACTTTACACAATTCTCTTCATTCTGATCTGGTTTCATTGGAAAATGAGATTAAAGGAGATACTCTCTAAGATCCCATCTAGGAGCAACAAATATACAATTCTGTGGGTTTTTAATATATACAGTTCCTTGTAAAAAAAAATAAATAAAAGTGATAACAACCCAACAGCAAACACTTATTCAAGGCTTACACGAGCCCAGCAGTGGGGCTGCCTGCGCACGAGCAAATGTCCTACTCCGAAGCAACGAGGCTGATCTCCTGCTCTTCTTGCTGATAGCCACTCACTCCACTTCTTCTCCCTCTTGAGATGGAATGAGAAGAATAAAGACATAAAAACCTGTTGACTTTTTTTCTTTCACTTTTTTGGACAGGGGATGAATTGAAAATTCCAGCAAGGAAAAGGGCATTTGGCAATGGAGTTAAATGGAGAGCTAAAAAAAAAAGTTGACATGAAAGGTGCATTCTTGGGATCAGAAGTTGAGTCCCTCCCTCCCTTCCTTCCTTTCCTTCTAAACTATTCACAATCATTCTGTGAGGTGTGCAGGGTTGGCTTATTTTCCTACTCTCCAGAGGAACACAATAAAGGTAACATTTCCAAACAGCATCAATAATAGTATCCTCAAGGCGCTGGCTTTCCTGTTCTCTGGCACGAAAGACCCACTTCTGTCACTAGTCCTCAAAACAGCATTTGCCGGGAGTTGGTAGAAAGAGGCCTCAGGTCGATTCTAAACTACAATAGCTCTGGATTGGGGAGGGAGCATGGCTGTGGGGACTGAACGCCTGCCGGGCACTTCTGTCTCCCACAGTCGTGGAGCTCAACCCTGCTGGCGGCCTGGTGTAGGGAGGCAGGGAGTCTTACCTGGTCCGGGGCTTGTCCCTGCCCTGCCAGAATGTAAATCCCCCGAGGGAATGTGTCACCCGCCATCTTCCAGTCCTCTTGGGTCCAACCCAATCTCTCTCTAACCCCAAACCGGTCAATGGTTTCCCACAGCAGTTCTGAGAACGAGTGGGATCCGCCCTGGCCGCCGCCACCCGGGCGCTCCACCACTCGAGTTTTCTGCCCTTCAGCCAAGCAAAACGGCGCTTGGTCTCTCGCCCCTCTCGGCCCAGTTTCTCCAGGACAGTTTCCAGCTGCTTGCCGAGCCCTGCCGCCCGACCTCGGCCCGGTGGGTGCTGGCCCGGCCGCAGCGCTCATCACGTGCCGCCGCGCGCCCAGCTCCCGCACCCCGCCCTGCAGGCCTCCGCCCTCAGGAACCATGGCGGTTGTGCTCACCTTTGCGCAGCACATCAGGCGCTTGTAAACCCCCACTGGATGGGGTGTCTGTGCTCAAAATGGCCCCACTGACGGGGACGGCATTGCCCGACGCGGGTCTGCCTCCCGAAATTTCCTTTCTGAGATCCCGACTTTCTCAACAAGTGCCAGGAGCCCCTCCTCGGCGCCGAGTCCCCAACATGGCCAGAGCGGTCGGAGCACCGGGCCACGCCCCTGACTAACCCAGGTAGACCCGAGGGGCCCCAGCTCCTCCAAGATCAGAACACAATGCTCTCTCCTCGCCTGCGGAGATCACGGGCGGAAGAGTATGGGAATGACACGCTCTTTTGGGACAGACACGCTCCATTAGCCCAGACCACCGCGAGCTCTACTCCCCTCTGCCCTACTCACCCGCGGCGAAGACTTCGGGGCGCAGGGTTTCCCGGGGGCCTGCGGCGAGCCAGCTCCACCCCAGGGCACTCCTTCCCGGGCCGTAGGCGAGAGGCTCCCACAACCTGCCCGGGCCCGCTCCCTCTCAGCCCTCCAGCCCACCGCGTCAGCTGCCGGGTGACTCAGCTGAGGCTGTACGCCCGCCAGCGTCAAGTGCTGACAATATAAGACGCCTGAAGGGAAGAGGGCGGAGGGAAGGGACCCGCCCCGCCCCCAACCCACCCCTCCAACCAATTGTAACCGCTGGTGCCACCTAGCGCTAGGATCTTTCCTTATTCCCAGTCTTCATTTACTCTTGGAAAAAGGATTCAATTTTAAATTGAAACCTCTGATAAAAGCACACAACCACCAACCACTATCACCTAGAGCCCAAAGGACAAAAACGAGACCCTCACAGGCCTCCAGAAAGCGACATGGAGGCACACGGCATCTGAGAAAAGCAAGGGCAAAAGGGAGCGTACACAACGTGATTTACCTGATGACGATAGCAGACAGGTAGGGGAAAGAGGGGACCGTGCCCAGGTAAAGTTCTACTTAACTTGGCCCCTTACCCGAACCCAATTCCTTTCTCATCGGCTTTTTATTTATTTTTAAAGATTTTATTGGGGAATTGGAGGATGGGAACAGCGCTGGGGAATCGGGGAAGGGGAACAGACAAGTTGTTGTTGTTTTGTTCTTCAGTCTAGTTGTGGAGGATGTTGCTTGACTGGCCCAAGTTGGCACCATCATTGCGCTCTTCCCGGGTGAGGCAGATCAGTCGCTGGCTTCTGGACAGCCGCTCACCGTGGCTGCTGGCCGCTCACGCGGCTGCTGGCTACATATGGTAGCTTATGGCAGCCCACTGCAGCAGGGACTGCAGCCTACACCGTCGCCAGTGACCCACGGCAGCCCAGCTCCAGG